GAGATAGAGATAGAGATAGAGATAGAGATGATAGAGATAGAGATAGAGATAGAGATAGAGATAGAGATAGAGATGATAGAGATAGAGATAGAGATCCCTCAATTTTCAAAAGAACCACTACATTTCTTTCATTTGTATTCTAAACTAGAGGGTAGTTGGAGCCATACTGACCCTTTACTCTTTTTGAAGGTGTGTGCAATTCAACATTTTCAGAAAAATATTTCAAGCCCCACAATGTATTTGATATATGGTCTGATACCATGAGACCAGCAGCACACATATACATGGTCATGTGATGCTGTTTATCTGTTAAAGGAGCTGCTAGTAAGTTCTCATGTGCAGTTAAATTTACTGGTTTCTACTTATAAAGTCCTTTATATACCAGAGCCTAAATATGTTAGAAACAATTGCCAATTGTTTAAGTACGATCTATTTGAACAATTAGGGGGTACATAGAGGGAGGGTCCCTGACAGTGGATGTTCCATGTAGCATCTCCCCTATTTGGAAATAGTTAACCCACAAATTAAGGATGGCTCCCACTCAGGACCTTCTTAAAGCAGGTGAAAACATTAGGAAACTTAGTGTCATACTAAATGTTAAATTGTAGTAATGATTTTGAATACTTAAATTGTGAATATGATTTTGGAATTTTTGCATTTTATTTCATTGTCTAAAATCTACAGTTTTACATTGTAAATTCTGTGAGCCATTTAAAGTCTTGCAAGTGTCAAGCAGTAACCATATTTTCTTATAAACTATTAGGGAATTAATGACATGGGATAAAATATTTTATTTTTCTGAGGTTTTATAACCAACTTGAAATAAAATCTGACATTCCATTTCACATTAAGTTCAAAAACATTGAGATCTCAAAATAAATCTTTCCTACTGTATCTTCTAACCTAAAACCATAATTAGGGAAATAAATAAGCACTACCTATTAAAGAACTTGAAAAATGGGCAAAAACAAACAGAAACAAAATGAAGAGCAAGAAATGAAATAAAATTAACAGAACAAGAGAACTGGAAGGTGCCTTGCAGGTCTTTTAGTCCAACTACCTGCTACAGATGGAGACCCTCTACTATTTCAGGCAAATGNTTTTAACATTTTCTAATGGTGGTGTGCCTCGTGATTTTTTTCATGAAAAAAGTGTGCCTTTGCACAAAAAAGGTTGAAAAACACTGAGGTAGAGGTATAGGTAGAGATAGAAAGGGGTAGGTATGGGTATGTATAGGTATAGGGAGAGCTAGAGGTAGAGATAGAAGTAGAGGTAGGTATAGATATAGGTATAGGTATAGGTAGAAGTAGGTATGGGTATATAGATATAGATATTGGTAGAGGTAGAGGTAGAGGTAGAGGTCAGTGACGTGCGGTGAAGTTCACGGCTGGTGAGGCAAGCAGGCAGGACCTCTATATTCTCTTCCCCCCACCCCTCCAATCTAGGCAGGGTCCAAGCCGCTCCGGAAAAAAAAAACTGCCAGCCTCTTGCCTTTGAAGGAGAGGAGGAGGAGGAGGAGGGCACCCGCTTGGGGATGGGAGGTAGGACAAGCTGAAGGGTTCATCTCCCCACCGCATAAGGATCAGAGGCTCGCCTCGGAGCCCGCCTCTCCGAGCACGCTCTCCCTTGCTATAGTGAGGGGGGGGCGGGGGCTTTAAGGCAAGCATCTGAATGCAAGATATGAATAATCTCCCCGAGCAGTCTCACACACCAGAAGCACCGAGGAGGGGCAGCAGTGGCTGGCATTGGCAGAGCCCCCTGCCTCCGCCCACCTTTGCGTGCCAGGATTTTCCTTGTGGCATTTTGCCTCCCCCCTACCCACTGGAATAGTGTGTGCGCACGCGCCATCCACCCCCTCACCCTGGCACTTTAAACTGCACACTGCCACTTTAGCTTGCCCCTCGGCCGCCATTCAGCGAAACAGGTTTCGCTGAATGGCGGCCAAGTTCTAAACTGCCGGCATGCCTTTAAATGCCTGCTTGCCTTCTGCACGGGCCCACGCAGAAGGCAAGCCGGCACTTCAAAGTCATGCCAGCACTTTAGCTTGCCTCTCGGCCGCCATTCAGTGAAACATGTTTTGCTGAATGGCGGCCGAGCTCTAAACTGCCGGCTTCCCTTCGCGCCGGCTGGCCATTCAGCGAAAAATGTCCTGGTTTGTGGCTGGGCTGCACCCTTGTACTTTAAAGTGCATGCCGCCCGGCCACAAACCAGGACATATTTCGCTCTATGGCGCACTGAGGTAGCATGGCTTTAAAAAATAATAAAAAAATAGATGTGCCAACCCGCGCGCCAGCAGAGGCAGGTTAAAAAAAACACACACACACATATACACATGCACATACACATAATAAAAACAAATTACAACTACTTACGTTACAAATAAATTGAATTCCTCCCCCCAACCCTTTTTAATTATTTTAAAAATAGTTTCCTTTCCCTCAGGAAACTGGTGAGGCCCCACCTCCCCTGCCTCTAGTGACTGCACATCACTGGTAGAGGTAAATGTAGATATAGATATCTGTAGAGGTAGAGGTAGGTATAGATAGATATAGATATAGATGAGATAAATAGCTATAGATATAGATGATATAGATATAGATGATATAGATATAGATATAGATATAGATATAGATATAGATATAGAGATAGAGATAGGGATAGGGATAGAGATAGAGATAGAGATAGAGATAGAGATA